ACCCTTTCGCGAACTACCCCCTTCTCCCTCGGATCAACTCCCCGTCCGCTCGATCGTTCATTCAATTTCGGCGGTGAGTCCCCGCGCGAACATACGGGCGTATTTACGCGTATTTTTGGAAAATCTGTCAAAGGTTGCGCAGGAATATACGGGTTTCGAGGAAACCCCTCCCCACCCGGGTCTCTCTCTTTCTCCCTCCCTGCCTTTCTCTTTCTTTCGTGCGTCAGCGATTGCTTTACAACCCTCCCGTAATCCAATTTCCGTCCCGTCGACACACGTACGCGCGCCAACTGCGAATAATAACCGCTGTTCTCTTTACGCGCGGTAAACCACGCGTCCGTCGAATCGCGGGAACGAGAGAGAAAAACAAAGCCTCGAAACGATCGAGTTGACTCAATATGATTGCGAACCGGACACTCGAGAACACATCACCCGGAAGACGCATTTGTTTAATCCTATGCTCGATAAAACGACATATATGTGTATACGTTTAATTAATTAATTATCGATAGATGAGTCACATAAATATCTCACCGGCCTAACGAGAGATCAGTGGAGTCAACCGGGTAAAATCGGCATATTTGAAGTCTCTACCACCTGTTAAAACAATTGAAGAGCTAACGTCGGTATTTATTAACAGCACGTGTTCCATTCGGCATCAACAAGCGATTTCTCGCGTGTACGATATGGCTGATAACGAAGCAAATAAAAGGAAATCGCGCTCCTGTCGCATGCATTTTGCATCATTGCATCATTGGAAAACTAACTTTGTTACAATGGCCTTTTAATTAAGAGCGGTCATTCACGATTTTATCTCCGCACTCGCTGTCGAGTTGTCATATCAATTACCATTAAGTAATGGAAAATAATAAAATACCCGCTGCTAATGCGTAATGTACTATTAGTGATTTTCGCTGAAGCATCAAACTTTTCCTCTTTATCTGACGTGTACCAAGAAATGTTATTATTTTCTGCCGGCGACGAGTCTCTTATCACGAATCATCTTAGACTCTCGTAATGTCTGGTCGATTCGAGGAGGTCAATATATATACACATATATATATATATATCTTCCAAGAAAGATGAACTCAATAATACGTGTTTAATGTTTGCATAATGTGTGATATTTGCATTTGTACATATATCATACGTGTTACCTTGAGTGTAAATATACGCATACAGGAAAATACATACTATATTCAAACAAATATTATTTGTTTTTAGTATTGTACAAATTTATATACATAAGTTCATCATAAATATCAAATTATTTAAAATATATTCTGAATCCTAATAAACTGAGTACTTTATAATCAAGAATATTATAAATTAAAACAAACTTGTTTGTTTAATCAAATTTAACTTTCATTGCATAAAATTTATATATTCTTAACTCGGGAATTGTCCGAGTATTCCTTAAAAGAAGGAAGGTAAATTTTTAATTACTTAGAGTAATCGCTTTCTTTAACAATAGAATGATATTTTTCTCTGTGTGAAAATTATGAAATTTATTAATTGTGTAGTGAAACGGAACCCAATTGGAGCTATCATGTCGAAACGCAAATATAGCCAGAAATTCTCCCTCGCTCGGTCAAAATATCAGCCGACGTTTACGCCAGCGCGTCGTTCAGATAATACCGAAAATCATCTATCCACAGAATGCAGCAGAACACAGTATCGGGAGGTTTTGCGAGGTGGGGAGATTTGTATCGGTCTCCAAAGGTGGTAGGGACGAAAACGGCATGACAGGCCCTTCATGGGGTATCGTGTCTATAGCTAACAGTAACCTAGTGGAATCCGGGGAGGCATAAACTGCGGAGGGCCATGGATTAGGCACGCGAATACCTGAATTCCTCCGTTATAACCCACCTTCCCGGTGCCGTTGTGATCATTTTTAAAGGGATTCCTTATTTCCTCTTAGAGTCCTCGTCGCTACTGACAGCTCGCGAGCGTGTTCCACGTCTCGAAGTTATCCCCGAACCGTTTGGTTTCAACGCGATTTTCTGACACTCCACGCTACTCTCTTCGTGAGCCTCGTCGTCGATCTGACCGGAGATCGATATTAAATAAAAAATTCTTCAGTGCGCGCGCGGGTGACCTCGACCTCTTACTTTCGAAGGGGAGAGCCTGAACGACGCGAAGATGGAAATATCTTCGCCAATAAAGGCGCGCTTGACCAGTGACATCCGAGGTCCTCGCAGTTCACTTACCCCCGAAGACGACGCCACGTGGCAATAACGACACTTACGGTCACCCAAAGACGAAAGGAAGCGGCCGGGAGGCGGGGTGATTGCACTGCCGTATGACGTGCGCTGTTCTGAGTTTGTAAAACGTCGCGAAGTTTTTGCGCGTCGAGATGCGCAACGCGGCGGCTCGTGACTCACGGTGACGATGTACGATTCGCGAGGTGTCTCATTTCGGCGTGAGAGCGATTTCCATGGTTCAACGGTCATGAAACGGAGACGTTTGAAATCTTGAGACCAGGAACGGCCGCCGGTAAGAAATTTATGAAATGGTCAGTCACAGAAAGGTTGCAACACTTGCTTTCGATAAATTGTGCAACGCATTCCGCGTCCAACGAAAGAATTTGTTTTCCAGCAATTCTCAAGAGAGATATTTTCCTGTCAGATACAAGATATATTGCGAAATTTATCGGAAGAAATGATACAATCTTTTTGCGACTGTACTCTTATCGCGATACTGACATTTAAAACAATGTCATACGTTCAAGTTGTGTGTGTCAGATTCGCATGAGCGTTGCTCAGATAAGATTTAACGAAGAAGAAGGTATCAGTTAAAATTGACGGATACACGGGGAGAATATTGTAATAAAAATTATCACAAAATTTTGTCATGTTGGAGCATACCGGAATTACAACTGTAATTACGATGTGTGTTGTAATATTTAATGACGAACCTCATTATACCTCACTAAAAATTGCAATACAAATAATAATCTCAACCATAATTCCGGTCCAACATGACAAAATTTCGTGATCATTCTTATTATATCATTTTCCCCGCGTAGAGCACGTAAATGTGCAAAGTTCAATAATTAATAATTATCTTTTTCTTACAAAGTATATTTTCGCAATTTTTCGAACGAAAGCCTGGATTACTGTGAAAAGGGTCTCGTTAAATTTCCGCGTAATTTATACTCGCTAACTCGGTGTATCCCCTTCGCGACACCGCGCGCGACCACGATATAACGGGGAGGCTAACCATAAGAATCACTGAAATGCTTCCGAACTTTCCGATATGCACGCGCGGCTCACGCGATCTTTCTCACGCATGTATCACGCACAGGCCGGACAATAGCGGATATCGTTGCGGGTTCACTGACCGTACGGCCACTTACCGCGATACGCGGCTGTCATCCTGAATTAGTAATTACGCCGCGCTTCTGAAATGCATATTCGTACTCTCCTCCGGATTCCCCGAATGCGCCTGGGGTGGACGTAGATATGAGTCATGACGGTGTCCCCCACCTCCCCCTCGATAACGCGTCTCCCTTTTTCGAGACCGCATGTCCATCGCGAGGGTATCCCGCCGTGTCTCGTTCGTCAAGTCTCGCGTGCGTCTTCCTACGGCACGAAGTGCTCGTTAGCCGACCCCAACCCTCCGCCCCAGCTCCGTCGAGCGAAATCATTATGATCTTCCTGCCGAATTAATGTCGCCTTCTACGAGCATTCAGATCCTCCGCGTCTCGCGAACTCCCCGTGTCTCGGGGATTTATATCCGCGCGAGTTTTACTTCGTTTTCTGCGGGGGGAGGATTGAATGCTGAATCGAATTGAGTACTGAACACATCACACACACACACATAAGTAATATGCGCATGTAATGTAATATACTCAGCGTATAATTGTATAATAATATTGCTTAAGATTTCTCAAATTGAGAGAAATGAAGAGGACTATCACAGAGGGAAATTACTCGCAACTTGGCGAAAATCTCGAAGATGTTATCAGACGAGGAACCTGCTTTTCTTTCCGCAGACCGGCAACATCTGAGGACTCGTCGCAGGCTGATCGCGTAGACCTACGGGGAGGGGGGATGTCGTCGACATCGCACGAGGCGGCGGCGATGCCGGCGGAGCTGGACAGCGACGGTTCGAGCTGCGGCGAGCGCGACCCCCGGAAGCGCGTTCGCGGCGACACCGACCCGACCGGGCCCAAGAAGCGCCGGAAGCAGACCACGCCGGTAAGATTCTCGTCCGGCGCGCACGAGAACGAGCGCGAGGACGAGCAGGAGGACGAGGACAGCGAAGGTAAGCCGTCGTCGCGATCGCCGGGCAATCACCACGACCAATACCACGATTACCATCACCATCACCACCACCATCACCATCACCACCACCACCCGCCGTCGTCGAAAGACGAGAACCTGAACAACGAGTTCCGCTGCCAGCACTGCGGCCGGTTCTTCGACAGCAAAGAGACGCTTAACGTCCACGTGGACGGCGAGCACGGCGCCGCGAACCAGGCGGCGCCGGGCGTCGCCATCAAGTTAGAGCCGGCGCAGCAGCCGGACCAGACCGAGGGTCCCGTTAGTCTCCTCAGCGTCAAGAATTTCGCCACTTCGGCCGCGTGGCTGACCTCCGGCGGTCAACATGTGCAGTCGCAGATGCAGGCCGAGGATTCGTGGCCCGGCTCGGTTAACCAGGTCGCCACAATGACCAATCACCTACAGGCACTCTCGGGTTTCCCAGGCGCTCTCGCGCAGTACCTACCCTTGCCAGGTTTCCCCTTGGCGGACCCTCAGCAGGTCCCGAGGTCTTCCTTGGGACCGGCGCCGATCAGGATCTTCAATCCGGACGCGTATTGCGACCTGTGCAACAAGGAATTCTGCAACAAGTACTTCCTGAAGACGCACAAGGCGAACAAGCACGGGATCTACGTGGATTCGCCGGCGACCTCGTCGACCGCCATGGACGTGTCCGGCGTCGTGTTCGGCGCGAATTTCCACGGTAACGCCGCGACGGTGAAGCTGGAGCCGCCGGCGACGCCGCCGACGAGCGGCGTCGCCTGTGACGTCTGCCAGAAGCGTTTCCGCAACGAAGAGTCCGCGAGGAAGCACAAGCAGAAGGTGCACAACGAGGCGGCCGATCAGTTGGACCAGCAGACGCCCCTATCGCAAAACGAGGAAGATCGGGAGACTCCGCGGGACAGTCCCGGTGGCATGGAGGCGCTCTTCAAGCAAGAATACGGCGTCGAGCAGGAGGACACCAGCTTCATGCCGGCGCCCAGACACCTGTCGCCCCAGTCTATCCAACAGGCGCGCGATTCCGGCTTCAACGCCGACCGCCTGCGCCGCCTGGGCGTCATCAATCCCGAAGCGTTCTGTGAGATCTGCTGCAAGGAATATTGCAACAAGTACTTCTTGCGCACGCACAAAATGAAGAGGCACGGCGTCGCCGTGCAGGAGAACGAGAAGTCGCCCGGCGCGACCGCCACTTGGCATCAGGTGCAGACCAGCCCGTTGAATCTGATCGTCACCGAGAGCACCGCGAGCTCGGAGTCGAACGACCGCACCGGCGAGGATCACGAGTGTAAACCCTGCGGTATCCACTTCCAGACGGCGGGTCTGTACCAGGAGCATTGCAGGAAGATGCACGACGGCGAAGAACGAGGTTCGCCGAAGCAAGAATACGAACCGGACAACTCGGACCCGCGCACCGACTCCATCTCCGAGGACCTGCAGAAGTTGCAGACGATGATACTGCAGCTGAACGGCCTGGATTCCGGCAAAGGAACCTCCTGCGCCGTCTGCGGCAAGGAGTGCGACTCAAGGTCGGCCTTGCGTGTCCACATGGCGGAGCACGGCGCCACGAGCGAGGAGATCTCATCGTCGCCGCGGGAGAAATCGCCCGTGGCTGTTGCTACCATTTTCTGCACGCTCTGCGAGAAGGATTACCCCAGCCAAGAGGCGCTGAGAAGACACATCAACGAGGAGCATCAACCCGTCAGCTTGCCAGTGCTTCCGACGACGGCGGTCGTCTCTACCAGCGGCTCGACGCCAACTAGTCAGACTCCCGCCGGCCAGACGACCGCGCCGGCTGCAACAACCGAGAGAAAAGTGCCGTCGTTGACGCCCACGTCGAGCTACTGCGAGATTTGCAACAAGGAGCTCTGCAACAAGTACTTCATGAAGACGCACATGCAACGGATGCACGGCATCGAGATCGAGAACGGCGCGCAGATAGGCGGCGTGATCTGCAACATCTGCAACAAGGAGCTGTGCAGCAAGTACTTCCTGCGCGTGCACAAGCACAACACCCACGGTATCGTCGACGAGAACACCTCGACTAACAGACAGGAGTCTTACGACGCCTCGGGCGCGGACGACTCCGCGCTGAAGCCGGAACAGCTGGGGGACCTCAGCAACCGGTACTTCACCCACTTCACCGAGGTCTGTCCGATCTGCAGCCGGAGGTTTCGCAGCGTCAAGTGGCTGAAGGCCCATCTAATGGGCGACCACGGCAAAGCGGGAATCGACAAATGGCGCGAACTGGAACAACAGTATCAAACGACGTCCAGGACGAGCGGCAGGAGCGTCGCTTCGACGAAGAATACCCAGCAACCCTCGAATCTGAAGATCCCCAACGGCTTCGAGATCGCGCAACAGATTAAGCCCGCGGATTTTGCGCACCTGGGCAATCAGGTGCTCTCCAATCTCTTCGGCGCGTCCTCCGAGGAGCAGCTGAAGAATTATCGTTGTTCCTTCTGCAACTTCACGACGCCCGTGCTGCCTTTCCTCTTTCTTCACGAGCGGTCCCACGTGAATCCCCAGGAGAATTTCGAGGGCGATCGATCGCTGCAGTGCCCGATCTGTTCGCAGGACTTCCATCAGCCGGAGCTGCTCCATCAGCACTTGCTCACGAAGCATCAGTTCCCCACGCTACTCTCGCAGTTCCAGCAGCCGGTTCTGAACAATTTCCGACCGGACATCGAGAAATCGAACGACGCCAAGGACAGAGGTGAGCCGGACGTGAAAGACGACCGAGCCGGATGCAGTCCTCAGACTGCGGATCAGAGCGTCTCCGAAGCTGCGGCGAGAAACCAACGTCAGGACGAGACCGCGGTGCAGGTGACGCCCCAGGGCGCCTACAAGTGCGCGCAATGCGGCTACGCGACGACGAATCTGAATCGGATCAAGAAGCATGTACGGAAGGATCACAAGGCGATCGGCGACCCGACCGAGAGTGTGATCGCCGAACTCAGCAAGACCCTGAAGGAAGTGGCGAACAAGCAGAAGGTGCCGGCCTGCTATGCGATGCCGCAAGACATGAACTCGAATCCCGACAAGACCATCATGCAACCGTTCCTGATCGAGGAGCAGGACTTGATGCAGGCGGGCGCCGAGTCCAGCTCGACGCAGAGATTCGCACCGGCTCTGGTCTACCTGCCGGTCAAGTCCAGAATTAGCAACGCTCTGACCGCTTCCTTCACCCTCACCCCCGCCTGAGTTTATTAGCCGACTTGCCGTGGCGTTTCTCGCGCCTGCATCTTGCGAACGGCGACAGGCCGAGGCCGGCCGACATCTGCATCTGCGACCTGAGCACGTGGTATCGGTTCCTATTTATCGTATAAGACGAGCGAGAGCTGCCGGCAAGTGTTATTCGTACCGTAATAATCTGACGTTTCACTGATTTCTGCGTATTTTTAGGAACTTTTGCAGCTTTCCTATTATCGATTGAGCGAGCCCCCCCCCCCCCCCCCNCAGAACCGAGAGACAATGACGGGATTAACGCGATAATTTGGACAGTCTATATTGTCGGAAGTAACTCTGCACCATGTTGAAATTGATTCTGGAATCGCTCAATGTTCGAGAACACAATGATTAAGTTAAGGAACCTCACACGGGTATTCCGATAGTCCCTGGATCTCCCGTCTCTTCGTGGGCATTAATCGATTCTGAAATCCGTTTTCATCGCACTGCAATGTTATTCTCGTAGTGACATGATGATTCTGATATGTGTGACGGTGTTTCGTTCGAAGAAATTCGCGTTCCTATGATGCGAAAATATTTGCCATTTCGCGATCACGCCATCGACTCACACGCTCGGAACACGAAGGGATCGTCCTGGAGTAGCAAATAATAGGACACTTAATACGCGTTTTCTTTCGATGCTTTCCGAAGACGACGAAATCGGCAGACCGATGAAACGATGATGGAAAATGACGCGACGAGATTGTTATATTATTGTTCTAAGTAGGGAACACGTTATACTCTTGTAAATACTTAATCGTAACTAATTAACACGAACGGGTGATCGATAAAGTTCCTATTTTAAAATGCGACAGGCTCGCCTATAGCGGTGGCCTTCATTTTCTTCACTCCGTATTTCATTTTGTCTTTCTCTCTCTCTCTCTCTCTCTCTCTCTCTTTCTTTTTCTCTCCCTATCTTTCTCACTTATTTCAGCCTCGGTTTTGCTTATTGCTCAAATCAACCAAACGCGCGTGAAATCGAGCATAATCGCGTTTGACCGGCACTAATAAGCGCACCGTCTCTTACTGATCTTTTCTTTCGCAACTGTTCTAGTCAATATTTTATATATAAATATATATATAAATATATATATTTACATATATATAAAAATATAAGAGCAGAGTTTTCAGAGATAGGAAAGATTTAGAGAGGTATTTATCATATACAACACATATATAGAGTACGCTAGACTCCGAGAGATCGGCGGACGGCGCCAATTAAGCGCGGTCGCTAATTACCGTCACGACGTGTACGGCCGAGAGGGCGAGAGCATGACCTACAATGGTAACAGCATTGAATATATCAATGTGCAGAAAGATCGCCAACCAACTCAGGGGTGGACACAGTATAACCCGCAACAAAAAGTACAATCGTATACACAGCCAACACATTACATAGACTTTAAATATTTTTTAAATATAATGATATGGCGTGAGTCTCGCGCGTAAATGTTCCGCGGATATCAATATATGATCGATCCCCCTCCCGCTCGTGGGTGGGGGTCTCGAAACGACCAAGCTCGATCCACTCGAAATATATTCGAACGAACGGCCCCCGATTTATGTATGTATAATCTACGGTTAAAGCTACGTAGCACAACTCTGATTACTTAACTAAGAATTACACAATCTAGACGGTAAAGATCGCGGACGCGCCGTGGTTCGGAGTAAAAAGTTCCTCCCTGAAAGCTGTTTCGAATTCGTGCCTTGCAGCTTGAGAAACGCATGGATCTGTCGCGAACTTCCTCGTTATCACACATGCCCCGAGAAATCTATCCGACGCAACGGATCTGCCCGTTGCGATTGAATGTTTCCGTGGATTGTATTCCTTCGAGCAGGTCGTAAAATCCGATCGCCTCATCCGACCGATGCGCTCAACGACGCATAATTGAAAAATCCTCCGTCATACAAGGATAACTGGCAAATAACTGGGAAATCGTTTCTCGGAAGCGTGCTTTATATACTCGTCTCGGAATTCATTGTGGATGTGATTCTTTCGTAACATAGAATACGCATTTTAATTAATCGTTTCAACGTGACGCAGGATAGTCTTAAATTATCCTGTTGTAAGACTCCAACCGCGATAAAAATATTAATCTATCAAAGTTCTCCCACAAACGAGAAAAATATTAAAATTTGATTTCGTAATTTACTTTTCCTGGAAGCCTAACAGGAAAAACGAAACATAAATTGTACATTGCCATCTTTCTAAGGATATGCTAATTAAAAATAGCGTGTAGTTTATTAAAAAATTGTTTGGTAAATTCTAAAAATTAGTTGGGCCGGTTTGATAAAAATTAAAGGAAAGGACTATTTTCTCGGCAGCGGTCAGAGCCCGTATTCGATCGAATGTTCGCAAAGACAGCTGTCGTAGTGACCACTCGATAGCAGAACGTGCAGCCGTTCTAACCTGCCTAGTTTCCCAAAATACGTTTCTCGCAGCGCACCGGTGCGCCTATCCCTCCGATGAACAAACATGCACGATGCATTTCCGCCCATGCGACGTACACCCACGCGATGTTGCCCTTATTCTATCGTGAAATAATAATGCTGTCTACTCGCTGTGTAATTACTCTCTATTTGCCTTAACAGTAATTCGAGTTTTTATATATTTTCTCCCCACCATATAACAGCATTAAAATTGAAGAAAGATTAGAATTTTTTTATTTCTGCAATTTTACATGTAGTTGATCTTTGAAAGTAAATGACAATTCTATGACAAAATAGTGATGGAAAAGATATCTTCTTTAGTGACTCTAAAATATAGATTTTATATATATATATATATATGGTGTTAAAATATAATTATATAATACAAACTATGAGAAAAATTGCAAAAAACATGCTAAGCCATATATTCAACGACAAATAGTTACTTTAACTGATCCACGCGTTGCGGTTCTCAAGATTCGCTTCAACAAGCAGCAACGTACGAGAGATAAATTATGCATTGTACAGCCGCTGTCGAAACTAACGGGTGGGGTATAAATAACGCGATCGGGATAGACGCATCGATTCCCACTGAAATGCAACATTCGTAGGTCGACGCGTTCTGGCAATTCGGCGAATCCGACGCTGTCAGAGACGGCATGATTTATTCCGAGCGATTTCCATGGCACGAGCAGCTTTTTGTCTCATGGGCCATAAAAATTTCCCCGCGCGCAGCTGAAATTCGAGAACCGCGTCATTTAACGGAGCCCGCACCCCGTGACCGTTGCCGAGAATTCGTCTGAATTAGTATGCGCGCACGCGTGCATTAACATACCTTAGGGGCGGAGAGGCGATCGGCTATTACGAACCTATCGAGGGAATAGGAGAGAGAGAAAAGGAAAAACGCGCAGGAGCGTTGTGGACGGAGGGAGAAGGAGCGAATCGGTTGGGGAAAAACGAATTTTTGACGGCATTGTCGAGCCGACGAGAGACGGGCCCGGACAAACGGGCCCCCACATCTGGTCCCCCCCTCTGGCGAGAAGGTCAGAGCGAGGAAGAGGTCGTGACCTTGGCGGGGATTTTTCCGAAAAAGTCCGAAACGATCGGACGAGAAGGAGGGCGCAGCGTCCCAACTTCCCCCCTTCTCCCCCCTGCTTTCCGCCGGCTCGCCCATTTTTCTTGCCCCACGTGCACAGCACGGTGACATGCAAAACGGCCACCTCACCCCGCTCTTAATTGCGTCCCATGCAGATACGTGTATTGTGCATTTAATGGCCTGTGCAGAACATGCGCACGGGGGATGCGGATTTTAATTATTATCGCGGAGAGAAGGGCACGCACGCACGTACACACACGGGGTGGATAATAAATCCGGGCGACGCCGGGGAACGCCGTGGTTTTTCGCGCGCGTGGCTGCACCCGTTTCCGTATAACAGCGAACGTATAACAGCGCGATAGATACGAGATAATTTCTTTGACGTCTCGGCTCAAAAGGCGCGGGTCTCATAATATAGAATATTAAATTCGGGAATTTCTTTTGGAGAGAGAGGGAGAGAGAGAGAGAGAGAGAAATCAGAATATCACTGAATACTGATAAACTTAGCCACGATCGTATCAATAAGAATGTCACTTTTTGATAAAACGATTGTACCAGTTTTGTAAAATGGATGCACCGATAAGTATCTGAAGAAAACTAAAAAATATTGCGTAAATATTACGTTAAATTATACCGATTTAAAAGTTGACTTGAGCACTTTTTGCCGAGCGTCAAAAATTTGTGCGCATGCGATACAATTTCCTCTCGTTGTGGGAAAGTAGAAGTTAGCTTCGGTTACATCGACACTAGCTTTGGAATTTCTTTCTCTGCATCTGCATTATATATACTTAAGTTTATGATTTGGCAAGTGTTGCGGACGGACGCTAATTGTAGTCGGTCAACCAAGCGTGTCGATGCAACCGGCAAGCCAAAGAAATTATAACGAAGCTCCGAGTGGAGTCCTAATGGTTCGCATGCCCGAAATCAGCATTGCCTTCGTAATAACATAATTGAGCGCAAAATCAAAATTTTACCCGTAAACCAAAAGAAAAGAAGAAAAAAAACACAAAGTATATATTGTTCATTGATATATATTATTGATTATATTAAGAGCGTCGTAAGCTAAGTGCATTTCATATGTGAACGAGGATTACGCGCACACGTGCACATACATGCCCGTGGAAAACGTAATCCATGTAATATGGGGGTACGAACGTACAAGCATACGGTATAGTGTATATTTGGTGAAATTAGGTGGATTATATATATATACATATATATATATATATGTGTGTGTGTGTATATAATTAACATGTCTAGTCATTTTGGAAGCGATTTACAATTCCTATACCTGATCTAGTCACACGATATAGTCAATCGATCGCCGGCACAAGAACAATTTGTCGTTACTCGACTAATCGCATATTTTTATATAAGATTGCGGGGAGAGATGAGACATATATTTATTATATTATTTTTGTTATTTTATATTTATTTCCTCATTATGTAC